TCATATTAGAGTGATTCTAAAGCTGCAGCTATTTTAAATTAGTTTTGTTGTTTTTTTTCCCTCCAAAATAGAAAGGGAGTGGAAGAGGTCGTTTTTTTGAATCAGTTGAGCTTCGGCTGCAACGTGAACTTCAGAATGCACCAAAACAAAATCAAGTAAAAGGTACTAGACCTGACTCCAGTTCCATGAGCACAATGGAATCAGGACAATGGACGTTTATGTTAGTTTATATGCCTGTATTTATGTGTGTGTGCATAGTTTAACATTGCAAACCTTTATTGTCCTTATTTCTACGTGCTCGTAGAACTCGAGTCATGTCTAGTAACTAATGTTTGACTTTTTTTTTTGTGTTCTTGGAGCTAACTTTGCAGTCAAAGCTCAACTGATTCAAAAAAATGACCTCTTCCACTTTTTTTCCACTGCAAATCATCAGATACAAATTGAATATTATGTCAAAGATGGCAATGTTAGAGAGAGAAAGGCTGTTTCTAGACGAGGACACTGAGTGAGCAGAGAAAATAATTGTGTTTGTCTTCTTCGTGTTTAACCATCAACATTGAGACCCACCCAGAAATGCCTCCATGGACGAGCTTTTTTTTCTCCCCTTCAGACGGCCCCAGAAGAGGTTCTCCAGGGGCGGTTCTTGCTGGCAGAACAAGCACAAAAAGTTCAGACTGCCCTTATATGGCCCACAAGACCCTGTGGTTTTTCCCAGGTGTAAACTGGTTTGTACCAAAGCAGTTCCAGTTCTAGAGCCTCGACACTACCACGTAAAAACATCTCTAACATGCTTCTTCCAGCATCTTTAGTAAGAACATAAGCTGTTTATAAAGCTAGTGTCACACATTCTTGTGACATTTTGAAGATTAATCCTTGAATTGCTTAATTGTTAACAAGTTACAGATTTATTGATAACAAAATGAATTAATTGCAGTCCTGGTTCTGGTTTCTTCGAGCAGCAGTAAGTCTGTTATATGAGCTTACTCCAACACCACTTGCAAGTATTTATACATTCAGCAGCAGAACTTCTCATTAACCAATCATTATCCCTTCGCTTTCAATTCCAGCTCACAGTATTCTACGAACGAGCTGACCTCAGTCTAATCATAACTTCATCATCAGTGACAGGGAATTCTATAAAAGCTGTGACCTCTCCAGATTAGCTACTTGACATCTTTAATATTTTTGCTGATAATTTGCAGTGTGAAATTAAACTGTACAATTTTATTCGGTTCTGCTGCAGAGTTTACTAAAGATGTATTTGTCAAAACATGAAAAACCAACTGAACGGATGTGCCAGAGACGTTGACGCTCCTGAACTGTAATTTGAGGCTTAATTGTGAAAAGTGAAAAACTGAAATTATAGCAGAATGTTCCAAAGCGATGGTCACAATTAACCTCTGAACATCCCCACACCACACCATTTTTATTTTTATTTTTTTTACTGAATAGACTAAAAACTTGTAAGCATTTAGTTGGTTGGAACAATGAAGGCAGTGTGTAATACATAGAGTGTGCACTGATAGATGACAGAAAAGGAGAGAAGCTATTGTTCTGCATTCTGGCATTCTGTGACAATAGCATTCAGAGTACAGAGTAGGGATGAACAATTAGTCGAAAATATAAGTGCAATAGGTACAATGTGTCATAACACACCAGTTTAGATGAAGCACAGAGGTGGCTAAGCCTGCAGATCATATTCTCTATATTTACGGAAACATGTTTGTTTGGTAAGGTGTAAACAGCTTTTGGTGGATAAGAAATGCAGTTTACTTTTGCACTAAAAGCAATACTCATGTTGCAATATAATTTATTTTATTGTTGGTAAGGTTTGGCCCAAATACACAGACAGAATTTTGAAAATAAGAGTGGGCTTTCTCAAGACATTTTCTCTGCTGTGACAAGGTCAAATCAAGTCAACATTATTTTTTACATTTACATTTTAAAACAGACATTGATCCAAAGTGCTTTCCAATAAAGGAATCAGATTAACATTTTAAAAAATTTACCTGATTGAATCCTCTAAACCCAAAAACCTGCCAGCAGTGTGTGAGACGTATTACCATTTTAAGAGCTGACAAAATAACAAAAATATTCGGCCAGAAAAAGTAAAAAAAACTGAAAAACACGTCTGACTTTGAGCTTTACAATGGTCCTTGAATAAATCTTATATGACAGTTCTGTCAGGAAAGTTAACCAATTCCATGCTCCAAATTGTGATATTTCACCAACATCATTTCATTCTGTATGTCTCATTTAGAAAAACATCAACAAGTCATTTGTACTACAGCCTGTAAAAAATAACAAATTCCTGCCCTCGCAGAGAAACCACGAAGCTTTTAGTTCCTTAGCTGCTACCGAGTGTCACGTGACAAAAGTTCTGGGACTGTTTGTCTGAACTGCAGACTGGTTTACCCAGAACAAGTAAATATGGAACCCAATTAAAATATATTTAGCAACATATTTATAGTATGTAAAGCCACTTCTTTCCAGTATTGATAACCAAATGGGCACTTGGAAAATGTTGTACATGTTGATTCAATTTTTTTCTTATTTTAATAAAATAAAATAATCCAAGTTGTTCTACTTTCTCTCTCTCTCTCTCTCTCTCTCTCTCTTATGATTCATGGCATTATAACTTTGGTAATACATCACAAAAGAATTGAGTCCTCTGTACTGCTAGGTATTGTTGAGCTACTCATTAAAACACATATGAGAGACTCCAATTAATCAGAGGCACTGCAGCGTTCTTTCTAGAGCAACATAATAATCATCGTTCTGTGCAGATTTAAGGTGTTTTGTGTCAAAAACTAATTAATAACCTCAAAGTAACAGCTTAACAGAGCCATGTCTTTGAACTATCAAAACATTCACCATGAAACACCTTAAAATTGAAATCTCAAACCAAATCAAACATACAAATACAGTAACGTTTAGCCTGGCTGAGGAAAAACTTTATTTGGTAACACGCTGCTCACTTGATGATGAGATACTTTTCCCTGTTACCTGCTTTGGTCGATAAACAGACATTGTCCCTTCTTCACAACCCCCCAAGTGTCTGAAATAAGCTGCAGTGTAAATAGGCCATTTCAACATAATCCCCCCCCATCCCTTCTTGGACCAAACAGATAACTGGCATCTGTCACCGTAACTCCCAACATCAATGCCAATTTACACAGAAACCGGGATCATAAAGGCAGGAACTTTCTGCCCAGCCTCTGTTTTTAACTCCCTGCGGATTCAGCTGTGCATTTCTGCATGATATTGCTTTTTGACTCGCTATCGGATTTCTTTAAGCTTCCCTCGTCTTCCATCCTATCCTCCCATCTTTTGATGATGACTGGGTTCAAACTGAGGCTACAGCTGCTACTCGGCTCCTTTGCAGCACACTGACATCTAGTGTTAACGTCATCTTACTGCAGCTGCTCTCTCGATATGTCAAAGGCTTTTATTGACAGACTCTGTATATGTGTGTGTGTGTGTGTGTGTTTGTGTGTGCAGGCTTGTCGTCATGGCCACGTGCAGCACCTGGAACATCTGCTGTTCTACGGAGCAGACATGAGCGCCCAGAATGCCTCGGGAAACGCCGCTCTACACATCTGTGCCCTATACAACCAGGTGAGCCGCGGGGGTGTTTCCGAGCTACATCAGCACAGATGTGTGTTCATGTGTGTGTGTGTGTGTAATGGAGCACTACTGGACTGACCTGGTACTATTTTAAGATTAAAGCTAGATCTATCAAATCTGACAGAAATAGTGGGAGAAATGTGGAGCAACATACCAAACTGTGTTTCCCATTAGGGGGAGCGTAATCACTGACACGTTCACACTCCAAACTAAACTCTGATGTCCATTTAGCTTCACTGGTAAAAGTTGAAATAATAAAAAAAAAAGCACAACACCACATTGGGTGAAGCAGAAATCTTTACAAATGCAACTGAAAGACGTGTGCATCAAGAAGAAAATGCACGACTAACATCTAAAGTGTTATAAATTATTTCACTTTCTATAAACAATTCATAAACTGGAGTCCCACCAGGACTAATGTAGATTCCTCTATACGACCAGGGTCTTTTTCAAGATTTCTTCTTTTATCAGTTTCAATTCACATTTATCTTGTTTTCTGATCCAGTTCGCTTTGCATAATTATGTACGTATAGATCACAGCTGATAATATGCACATTTGTTGTCATTCTCTGAAATGTGTTTAAACAATACTTTCAGCATATTTGATTGGAGATGAACTCCATAGAGAAGTATTAGCTTGTGTCCTGATTAATGAGGTACTATGTTGAGTCAGACTTGCAGGTCTGCACTTATTTAGTTTATTGAAGTCACAGCTATGTGGTGTGATCAGAAATTTCAGACTGTAGAAATCAAAAACCGACTTTATTTGGGATTTAAAATTGGCTGCCATCCCCGCTGAGACGGTCTCCTTGTGCAGCGATACAGTGCTTCCAGTGCTCCAGCAACGCTTCAACGCTCCCCAAAAGTCCTGTTATGTAAACATGTTAAACACCATCTGCAGTGCATACCCTATATTTTGAATTGAATTTTTGGGAAGAGAAAGAAGTCGCATGAAGCTAAGTTTGGCAAGTAGGACGCACGGGGAAGGAAATTTGTGTAGGAGTGGCTAAAAAACCTGGTGTGAATGGACACACAGTGGCTTAAATGTTCAATGTTGAATGGTCAGAACATTATAGGAGAACTATACATCGATAGTCCAACTCTGGGGGATGAATTAACAGTCTATTATCAATATGAATGTTAATCACACTGACACTCGTTCTCTGGTCTTGGTGGCTGTGGCTCTTTCACTGTCAAAACTGTTGCTCCTGCTTTGATATTGTGTGCATTTTTCATTTCTCCTATCTATTTGGGATTAGTAGCACTTTATAAGTGTAAAAACTAAAAAATGTCACAGAATAGTAGTTCGTTTTGGGGGGAAAATGTTTTAATGTGCATTGTAACTTTTGAAGAGCTTTTTTTTTGCTAATATTTCTGTGAAGGTTAAGCATAAATAAACAAGTTCCAACTTTATCGATTGAATCTCGGTCTGTAATGTAGAATGTTTTGCCAGCGTCTTATTTTTATCCTGATTAGGGCTTTGGCACTCTAGATGCTGCAAAATGCATCCCAAATGGCCACGATAGGTCTAATTTAAGCAGAATAAAGTTTATGATGCAGAAAACTCTAAATGTTAAGTCCCCATATAATGATGCAGAGCTTTAGGAGGTTAAGACTGTTTCTTCAGTAACACCTAAACCTGTTGGATTCCCTCTAGTCCCAGTTTGTGTTTCTCAGTTTACACTGTTGGCAGTCCTTTTGGGAGATAGAGGTCCAGTGTTTCAGAAATGCTTCATCAGTCATTAACATCTATCAAATTTTTAAGTAAAAGCAGACATGAGAGATAATCGCCTCTTATATTCGATGTAGGGAAATGTGTTGTTTTGTTTTGAGTTAAGAACCTTTTACATGTAATATTGTGCTTCATCTCACAGAGCTGATTCAACAGCCTGAAACCCTCGCTGCTCACCTTCACTGTGTTTGCTGACATTCACTTTGCTTCTGCCTCTGCTGCTGACTTCACCTCATTCAGTTCTGCTCTGTTTGCGAACACCCTGCAGGGTCTTTGTTCCTTTTTCTCAAGAGACAAATTATTTGCGAGTCTTCTTCTATCTTATTTATCATACATTTGACGCTAAAGTGCTGCAGCTTAGAGCATCCCAAGAGTATAAACATACCACCACTGTCTTTGTCGAGTTGCAACAACATCTAACAGCTATTTTCCAGCTATGATGTGGAAAGTAAACATCTTAGATAAGGTAAACTCTTGATGATATGTAAATATATAGTGCTATGTCAGCCTGTAAGGTGAATTTACATTGCAGATGGGGATGTTCGAGAGGAGAAAACTACAGCGCAACAGGAGGCTGTTTTGCACTGCAGCAACTTGAAAGAATTTTTAGGGCGGCACAAACCTTTTTGCATTTTCCAACCCCAGGAACCACCCCTGTAGAATCTCTTTTAGGGGAGAAAAATCACCTGCTCCAGCCACTTCTGAGTGCCGTGCTTTCCCAAAAACTGCTATGTAAAAGTTGATGCTGATTGGTTGAACTAACAGAGGACAGCAAGTGCAATTTTTTCTGCCATTTCAATATCCGTCTTTGAATACCTCCTCTCACCATACAGGCAAACTTAACAAACCTCCTTTGTTCTATTGCCTGCATGCTCATAGAACTGGTGTTACGTCCAGTAACTACCACTGGTCATCGTTTTGATGCACTCAAAGTTCTCGTTTCGATCGTAGCTGCCTGATCCTTCACCGCAATGAGAACAGAAAAGCTCAAAGGGCGGAGTAGATACTTTTTTCCTCCGCCTGAAGAGGTTCTACAGGAACAGTTCTAGTGGTAGCAACATTCACACTGGTTCAGACATTCCAAAATGGCGTACGGGCTCCTGCAGCAGAAAACCGTTTATTGTTTATGTCGGTGATGCACGTCAAAGTAGCATCCACATTTCTGCAGGACCGAGGGTTTCCCAGCAGGTCATTGCTTGGTAACGAGATGATCGATGTCATCAAGCACCATGACAAGACCAAAAATAATAATTTTCCACCATGCCATAGCACGCCACTGTTTATTAGAACCACAACAGTGAACCGCTCTGTTCCTTCACAACCATGAACACACTGACTGTAGTTTATTTTTAATTTCTCACAATATCCAGCCCCACATGCGCCTGCTGCCCAAAAATGTGGTTTATTCTGCTACTAAAAATAGTTCCTAATAAAAACATTATATGGAAAAAAACAAAAACAGCTGTTTTAGGAAATCATTCTGTGGTTTAAAAAAAAATCTATACATTCAGGAGGACTTTTAAAAAGTTTTTTCCTCACAATGGACCATCGGGATTGGGAGTGAGTGGCACAGACGAAATAGGAAATGATAAGAGTCTTATCCGCCAACCGAATGTTCACAGAATAGATGAGCCATTTCAAAGACCACTTCAGTTAAACCTGCCTTTATACTCTCGAGCTAAAGGTCAGCCGTAGCCTCTAACACTTGTTTGTACAGCCAGTCATCTGAGACCGGTTTACACATTGCCCTTGGAGCACGGCCCGCTAAGCAGCTTCGAACGAAAAGCAGCCCACCGGTGTATTCGTATCAAAGCACGCTTTTAGTTCCACTTAAGAAATGCAACCCTGTTTCTGTAGCAAGGGAAACTTGTGCTTTTGACATTTACAAAGTGGTTGTTACACCATAAAATTGATTCCTTAAGGAAAATGTTGCTATTGTTGTGTGTATTTCTATTTGTAAACAATGTGTTGGTCCATCTCTTAGTACTTTTGGACCTCCCTGGCTTGTCTGTTTCACAAAAACTAAAGCTTCTTTGCCATTTTCACTGTCCTTTTTTAAACAAGCTTTACCTAAACAGGTGGAAATGGTACGCTTTGTTAAGAACTATTTTCAGCTGTGGATTAATGCAGCTTTGCCTGCTGCTCAGCTCGTAAAAGTCCATCTCAAATTCATGGATAAGGAGGGTGTCTGGTTTGGCGTCCTCAGGATCACGTCTTTACTTTTTGCAGATGACATAGTTCTTCTAGCGTTATCAGATCGTGACCTTCAATGAAAACTGGGATGATTTGCTGCCACGTGTAAAACGGCTGGGATGAGAGTCAATACCTCCACGTCTGAGGCCACAGTGCTCTGCTAGAAACTGATAAATTGCTCCTTCTTGGTAAGTGTCTAGTTTGGTTGTCCACAAGAGATGGAAAAATGGAGCTTGAGATGGACAGATGGATTGATGCAGCATCACCAGTAATGCAGGCGTTGTACCCAACTGTTGTGGTGACGTGGGAGCTGAGCCGGAAGGCAAAACTCTAGATTCACGGGTTGGTCTTTGATCCAACCCTCACTTCTGGTCATGAGCTTTGGGTAGTGACCAAAAGAATGAGATGCAAGCAGCTGCAATTCGCCAAGCTCAGACTTAGAGATACTGCGAGTGACTCAGACATCTGAGTAGAGTCGTTGCTCTTTTGTGCCAAAAGGAGCCTGCTGAGGGGATTTGGGAATCTGATTAGGATTCCAAGTTCCCAACTTTGGAGATTTTCGAGACAACTGGGAGGAGACACTAGTCAGACCCAGATCTCGTTGGAGGAAATACATATCTCATCTGGCCTGGGATGCCCAAGGAGGAGGCAGAAACCTTGTTGGGTAGAGGGATGTCTGGAATATCCTGTTTAGGCTGCTGCCACCAACACCCGACTCTGGATAAGCAGAATAAATGTATCTGCCTTTGGATACACAAACAATAAATGGATATAAAAAAAACATTTTAGCCCAAGTTCAGGAGCAGGACCACACCTTAAACACTCCCCTTGTCGTCATATGTCTATAAATGCCATCTCGCCCAACACACTCAGTCTCTACTGTATCTCCAAAGACAGCCTGGGCTGCTCACTCAAAAGAAGCAAAATTGAAAGTCCAGCTTTTGCTTGCATTACAAATAAAACACACACCTAAGGTTCAAGGTTCAAGGAGTCTTTATTATCCTCGTGGGGTAATTTGCTATGCAGCCAGCAGTGCAGAGAACCGCAGAGAAACATCAATAAATAACTAAAAGACAACGATAAATGCCCTGACGAGCTCCTTGATGTACAATCAAGAAATGTCTAAATACTTCCACTTCCAGCGTTTTGTTCATCACAGAGCCTGGTCTAAGTTATTATCTGATCCTTGTTCCTGTCTAACTTTTCATTTAGCCAGGTACCTCCGTCTTATTTTCCGGCCAAGCCTTCAGAATCGGAGCAGCTTCGACCCAGAGAAAAGCATTTATCTTAGCAAGCTAATTAACTTTACACCCACTCCAACAACTCAGCTTTTCTTCTCTCCATTCTTAGGGGTTCTTCCTTGGAGGTCTTGCTGATCCTGGTGAAACCTTCCTTTAAGTCGACTCAACATCACACTTAAAAATCTCACGTCAGACACAATCACGTGCATCTCATTGGCAGTGTGGTCCTTGCTCGTGAATTGCTAGTAGGGTCAGTTAATTGTCACTTTTCCCTGCACATATTGGAAAGACGAACACAGAATATTGTCCAGGCTCATCTTTTAAAATCTAAAAAGCCAAAACTCAAATCATGTGGCTCCTTATGGACTAACATTAGTCCTGAAACAGCAAAAGTTTGGTTCGAGGAATAAATCAGGTGTTTGTGGGCAATGATTAAAATCTGGTCTATTCCAGTCTCCTCTGTCAAAGCTGGAGCAATGAAGATGATGATAATGATGGCAGCATCTGCGAAGCAGAGGGGGTTGATGTAACCTGGATTATTCTGTTATTGGTTGTACTGTATGTCATAAATATGCATGAATTCTCACTCCTGCTGGATGGATGGAGTACTCTGAACAGATTCCAATGCAAAATGCTGCATGAAAAAAAAAGAAGCACGAAAACCTCAAAACTTCTGGCAGGAGCAAGCGAGAATTTCGCTGTCATCTTCTCCATCAGTGATCTCCGCTCACTAACGCAACATGAAATGCACAAGAAAAATCCATTTGGAGCAGAAGTTTCCATTGTGTCCAAGCTGCAGCGGCCAAGATTAGCTTCAGCCTCGTGAACACTTGAGATCTGACCTTTCTCACAATGCGTTCCGCTGTCTCTCCGGTTCTTACATTTGCTTTTGTGCCCAGCTTCTAATTATCCTCACAGCTCACATTTCCAGCTTCATTTTAAACGTAGCCTATACGGGGAAAAAACAAAACATGTCGTGGGATCGCTACACTCCAGATGGAGAGTAAAAATAACACGCTGATGCATGTCTTAAAATGTCTAATCGCGGAGATGTTTGTCGTTGCCGGCTACACTGTGCAGATTACGGTTGTGTATCAGTATCTGTGTGAGATAATTTTTCAACTCTCAATAGCTTATTGTGGATCTAAAAAAAGTATTTATATTCATGTGTGTGTGCACAGTGCATGCGTGGTTGAGCACTTTGTGGGCGATTTGTGCAGTAGATTCAAACCCCTCAGCACTCTACATCTCCGGTCTTCTCTCTCTCTCTCTCTCTCTCTCTCTCTCTCTCTCTCTCTCTCTCTCTCTCTCTCTCTTTCTGTTTCTCTTTCTATCTCTCTCGCCCTCGCTCCCTCTTTCTCTTTGAGTGCAGCAATAGATACACACTTAACAGCGAGAGAAGCTCCATTCCTGATATAGGTAGTGGATGTTCTGTTGTTTTGTTCCTTCTGTCCCTGTTTCAGTGATGGCATGTTCAGATATTTACCCACACTGACCAGCTCCTGCTCTGCTCTAGTTTTGGAAACATTCTGCTAATTTCCTGGAAATATTCTGAACAAAGTAGGGGAATTAAATGATTCCAGTGTTGCAGTCTCGCGGAGCGTCTCAGCTTCATGTTTTAATTATCTTTCTCTTTTTGTTTTCCAGGATAACTGTGCCAGAGTGCTGCTTGTTCGCGGAGCTGACAAAGAAGTGAAGAACTACAACAGCCAGAGTCCATTTCAGGTAGTGTAAAAAAAAAGACAGAAGAAGAAGAAGAGAGCACTCTTTTTCACTACTGTTTGCATGTTTTTGAATTACAAAAGATAGATTTCTGCTTTCAGCATAAGGAAAACATTTTTAGTAGCAGCACATTTTCTTCGTCTCATTTGTTACCATGGCAACAGTGCAAAATGGTCAAGGTCAGTTGCAACCCGGGATGTAAACGTCTTTCTGGCCAATATTTTAGATTTGTAGTAATTAAACCGTGTTTAGAAGCGAACTGAAAGTGAGCATGAAACGTTGATGGTGTCTCTTTAATCATTTAGCTTCTTGTCCTTGAGTGGATGGCTTCTTTTTTTTCTTTTTACACATTTATAGCAGAAAGTGTCTCGTCTGTATTGAGAATAAATACAGCTGCTCTGAGTTTGTCCCAGCATCTTCAGGAAGCTCAAGCAAGTCCAACTGCGTGCATTGTAGTTCTTGGATGACTGAGAATATTCACAGATTTTGTTTTCTGCACAGCACTAACTTCAAGGAACGCTAAAAGCAACTGTAGCTGTCTGTTTGAGTTTATCCTACTTGTTTTGCAAGGAAGAGAAGTGAAGCAGAGGATGCAATTCTTTAATTAACCCTCTGAACTCCAAGCAGTTTCAGCATGTTTTCGCTTCTGTCACATTTTTACTCACTGTGGGTTTATTTTTGACTGCATTATGAAGACACTCTTAACCATCTGAACTCCAAGCTTTTTTTGGGGACTTTTTTTTTTTTTAAAACTTTCTATCACATTTTTACTCACTGTGGGCTCATTTTTCACTACAATATAAAAGCTTGGCCCTTAATGGAAACAGCACAACCATGACTAGAAGTAGAGTACTCAAAACAATGTCTTCATAACGAGAAGTTGAATTTCTGTGATATATATATATTTAAAAATGCAATCACCACACTGAATATTTTTTCAAGTGCTAGCAATAGGGGCTCTACATGTATAGATATTTCACTACCTACAGTTTTACAGCTTCAACAAACGAAGCATTTTTCACACTACTCTGCACACCCACTCAGCAAGATATTTCACCGTGCAGAATGCATCTTCCAACAACTTGCCGACAGCTTTTTCCTCTGTATACTGTTTTTGAGCCATGCTGCATTTTTTTTTTATTGATCCACTATCTTTTATTCTTTCTCTCAGCCTAACTTATCATTTTTTCTCTGCTCTGTGAAAACAAAATCTGCAGTTCACCTGAAAACTCTTCATTTTTGCCATGCGACTGTTGTCAAGGCTGGCTTAGTGTTCTTTTACAGCATCTTTTGCAAATGCTTTATTTTTGTTGAATTTTTGAATCAGATATGTCGAAAAAAAAGTGACTCATTTATTTTGATCATTTTTCAGTCATAACCACGTGTTTCATGTGATCACTTCAAAAGCTGTCAGAAGGTTGAAAATCCGATATTTCTTTTGACAGGTTTTGGCGAAAAAATGGTGTCATTTTGGTGATTTCTTTTTAAAAGAAAACATGCCTCAAAATGACAGCATTTATCAGCCGGAAAGGAATCATCGGATTTTGAACTTTCTGATGGATTTTGAGCTAATCACATATTATTAGTTTAGAAAATATGAAAGTCTGACGATTATTTCTTTTTTCTTTTTTCTGTTTTAGTTTTTGGCTGATATATGGTGATTTAAAAAAAAAAAAAGAAAATATGTCTCTCTAACCTGCTGGCAAAGTTTGGAGTTCAATGGGTGAATTAAAGATGGAACAGGAAAATTACAGTTTTTTGTGCAGCAGTCGCAAGGTGGTGAACTGTTGTACATAATAAAAAAGTAGTGCGTAAAACCTGCTACACAGTCACACAGAAAGTCGTATTGCTTCAGTGTGTGTGCGTAATTTTCGGAGCCATTATTACGGGTATCCTATTGCATGTTTGTGTTTGTACTGGTGTGTACACTTTAGCAGCACATCCATTCCAGGGAGAAAACCCCAGAAGCTCTAAGAGCTGCCTAGCTGCAATGTTTGACTCATAACCTACGCCTGAGTTACAAAAGAGCCTTATTCAGGCAGGCGTTTATGAAAGGCAGTCCCACGGGGTCCTCGACTGTCCTCCACAGCCACTCCAGTGGAGCGCTTCATTAGCTGGAGCGCTTCATAAAGGCAGCGAGCCCGGGCCGAATGGAGATCACATCGGGGTGTTAGTCAGAGTTTGAGCTGCGTTGCTGGGTTTGCAGCTATGGCCTAGTTTTAGCTGCGCTGATGTTAACCTGCAGCTTTGTTTCCTTCTGTGTGATGCGTCTCTTTTATTTGAGCACAGTGCAGCATTCAGGATCAATAATCTGCTCGGGTGCATTGTATATGTGGAAGCAGAAAACAATCTTCCTTTGTCACAGCAGATGTAAAGGAAAAGTTCACATTTATATTCTGGTAAATATCCTGGTGATGATTTTCAGAGCACAAAAAGTTTTGCAGTGTTTCCACAATAAAAGGCTGTGAATTAAACAACGCCGCTTTTTGCACTAATTTGCTGTGCTCGAGCTGAGAAGCACCTGTTTCAGCTCCATTTTGCTGGAAGACGTGTGGAGAAATCTGTTCCTATTAGCCAGATGATGATGTTTGGTGCTGTTTTGATGTGTGCTGGTACAGATGGATGATAATTTACCAGGACAGCTTGAACACATCTGTTGACATGCACCACAGTCTCATCCTAGGTTAGTCTGTTACTGGGTATAGTGCTGAGATTTCTGTTTGTTTGTGCTGTAGAAGTATGTCTTTGACCCAGTTAAACCCTAGAAGTTTGAGCGTTTACTTTAAAGCAATGCAGCAGGTGGATATGTGTTGCTTTAGGTTGAAGCAGTTTGTCTGAAGCCTTATCAGATGCCAAAACACTGCAGCTACGTAAAACTAAACTGCACTCTTAATTACGTTTTCATGGAAACCTATTTTCTCCCCCATTATGTGTGTTTGTGACGTATCACAAATACTTTTCTCATCAATATATCTTTGCTATTTAAGTTAATGCTTCATTGTCACTGCTTTTCAGACAATTATTCATATGAAGGATGTGGCAGGACTAATCGCTGTGGTATAAATGCAGAAGAAGCTTCCAATGTATTGTGAGAGGTTGCATTCTAACCCAAACGGTGACATCTTTCTTTAGCAACAAGTAAAAACAAGTTCCTAGTCTGGCTGTAATTTTAACCCCTAAAGAAATCCTCTGTGTGAATCGAAGGTCAAAGTTACATTTTTGAAGTTTCTTCCATCAAATTATTCTTTTTTTTCCTTAAAATATCTTCGATGAAACTCTGCACTGCACTTCGGTGTGGACTTTATTTACAGTTTTGGCGTTTTTTTTTTTTTTTTTCTATTTCTATTTTTCTCCCTGATCCTTTTTTTTTTTTTTTTTTTTTTACTAATAAATTGATGTTTTTTTTGTATATATGTATTGGATCTTATCGGTAATTTAGCATCTGTAAAATATCATTGAAGAAAAATTTACTGTAAAAAAAAAAAAAGTGTAATTTTACAGCCAAAATGTGTATATTTACAATTATCATGTAAATTATTTGTTCTATGTGATATCACTAACAAAATCAGGAAAATCAGTAAAATACCAGGAAAAAAGAACAAAAATATGACAGTTAGAACCTTCTTCTTTTTTTTTTTTTTTCTTTTTGTTTTACTGTGTTGCTTCCACTAGAACGTGTGGATCTATACCGTCGTTTCCACTCTTTCCGCCCACCCCTCCAAACTCGCTGCAGCTACAGCAAACCAGCTCATCTGTAATATCTGAGTAATTCAGCCGTACATGTTCAAACCTTCAACTCATAGTGAATGTCCCACTTTGCAAGCTGACAGGATTGATTTCTTACATTCGTTACATATGAAACCCTGGAAGTCTGAGTCAGAACTCATTATTACACCACATTGTCAAGGTGGAAGTACTCAGCCATGGTTGACTGGTTATTTTGCTCATTATGTGTCTTCCAGCATTAAAAAAAAAACACCGAAGGGACGAGTTAACAAGTTAAAAAAGAATAATAGGAATAATGATCCCATTCGGGATGTGATTGCCAATCTCATGGGTGAAAGTCTTGATGCTGAATTATGCATCCACGACCCCTTTGACCCACTAACACATCACAGGCTTACCTTCCGGGAAGAAAAAGCCTTTCTTTCAGAATGTAAATGAGAATGCAGTTTAGCTGTATAGGAACAGCAAGCTCAGTGGTATTAATTGTCTTCTCATGTGATATTGGTGTCAAAAATGTAATTCCTGCATGTAGACAAACAAGCGACTATATGATGTTTACATGAACAACACAACATTGCTTCACTGAGTGTAGATGTTTCCATGCAGAGTACAAGCTTTCACTGATGAACAAGAAAAGGATATGAATCGCATGCTGTGGCCTTCACCTTCTCTGGGTCTCAGCACAACACAACCATCTCCCAAAGAACGAGAACTATGTGAGGCATTGAGGCACAAGACAGCGTTTTCCACCGCTATTGTTAAAGCAGGTGACTTTACAGACTTATTACTAAGACAGTGTATGTGGGCTTTAATTTGTCACCCAACGGTATATATCAATGTTGCAAATGAATGCAAAATAACACAGAATAATCAAATTTATGCTCAGTCGAACGAGCTGTGGTCCATTGTTATGCAATATATCAGATAAACCTCCTCAGGCACTTCAAGCACGGATGTAAGTGATACACTGGGTTGCTTTTTGATCGTATTTTTCTTCCGTTTCCTAACTTGGACAACAGACTTCGGTTTCACAGTGGCACTATATCGCATGTCTTAATTTCCCATCGCTTTGGAACGATAGCATCGAGTTTTGCTGCCAGTCAGTCAGAAACAAGAAGCCCGAGTTGCTTTCTGCACCCAACGTTTTGCTGGAGCGTTCGGCAAACATACAGGCTGAAATCTGTTGTAAAAGAGACACAAACAGCAGTTCCTCCGCTGACAGCAGGCTCAACAGCAGAACAGCAAGCAGCCACTAGACATGTTGGACTCTCACTTGT